TCTAAAAGTTTCTGCTTTCTGGGTAAAGGGAATGATCATGTCTTCATTTATTTTACTTATTAATCACATTTATATGGCCGCCCCTCTCACAATGAAGCAACTCTGGGCAGCGTGCAACAATCAATAAAACAATTATAAAAGCAATCATTATAAAATATATGGTAGTAAGTCATATTAAAAATGAAAAACACTCCAGCATCTTCCGGGTAGGGAGTGGCTGAGTCTCTCGTCTCTGGCCTCTTCTTCATGTTATACAGTCAGCTCCTTTAACATTTCCCCATAAAAATTCACTAGGAATTTTTATTAACCTATAAAATTGGGTGTCAGAACCAGCCACAGTTCACCAGATAATAACTGGATCTAATAAAAAAAGGAAACCTTGACTTGGTATGACTGGGAAATTCTAATAATGGGACTCAAAATTATGTTAGTCTTTTTTGCCACCATGCCACATTGCTGACTCACTTAGGAAGTGATTCCAATCTCAGTTCACTGGTAATATTTTCACATATTCTACTGTTGCCCATCCTATTTATGTGCATTTTTCCTGACATTAAGAATCCTTTTCTTTTTCATCCATCCAAACTTTAAAGTCTATGTTTCTATCCTCTTTCATCCCTACCTTCTGAATTATCCTTTATCCATTGGATATCACCTACATATTTTTTTAAAAACACAAGCTTTTAAAAATTACCTGTATCTTGTTAGCCATTTTAGCAATTCCAAAGAGAGGCAGGATTCAAATTAACTAAAATGCTTAGGTTTTCACTCACATTTATTAAACATGTGTGCACGCCACACCTTGCCGATTTCCAATAAATTAAACTACTCGTTTTCTTCTTTCTCCCCACAGCATATAAAACTGCAGTCTAAAGAAAAATTCTTCCTGATGTGGAAAACTGGCTTCCTGATCCGAATTAAGTGTAAGGTTTTGCTTTCCAGTTTCCTGTTTGGCGGAAGGGTTCTGAATCCAGTAAGGCAACTGGCATAATATAAATAACAGCCATACTTGCTTTATTTTGTGCCCATTTGTAAACAAGAAGGCTAGATGCCCCTTTCCCAAACCGGTGCCTCCAGATGTGCTGGGACTACCCTTCCCAAGATCCCCAAAAGAGGTTGCTGTCTCCATAAGGAGGAAGGCAGCTTTGAACGTAGGCTCAGAGACCCTCCCATGGTGGAACAGACCCATCAAAACCAACGCGAAGCAAACCCCACCCTATCCGCCCCCTTCTAACGGTTTGGAAAGAGGGCGGACGACGATCGTGGCAATGAAACGGAGCGGGAGCTGTATTTCACCATTCGCCCCATTGTCTCCCTTCCGCTTCTCTTCGCCCACCCAACCCCACCCCCACTCCCGGAGAGGGGCAAGCCCGAGGAGCAAAGGAAAAAACTGAGGGTAATCACGGAGCAAAATAAAGCCAGGAGCGAAATCCGTTAGGTCCGGAGACGCAGCAATCTCCTCTGTCCCAGCCGAGTCCAGCCCGTGGCCGAGGGGGGGGGGGACGATGGCCGGGGCCGTCTGAGACCCTTCGCCACCTCTCGCCTAGCCCGGGCAGGGTCCCGGCGCCGCGATAAGGCGTGGTGGAGCATGCAACGGGCGGAGGCAGGGAAGGCCGACTCTGCCCTGCGCCCAGCAGCTCCCAGGCCCTCGACCAGCGACGGATGGAAGTAGCCCAGATGCCGAGCCAGGCCAGCCCTCCCACTCCCGGGGCTCGTCCTGATCACCTACCCCAGCTGTTCCTCTCCTTGCGGTTCTTGGCCATGGTACTTCCGCCCGGCTGGCTACCTGCTGCCTCTCGGATCCGCCGGGCTCTAGGCGGCGGCGGTGGCTGCCGCTGCTGCTAAGATGAAGAAGGAAAGCGCCGCCACCCGCCGCCGCCGCCGCCGCTGCCTGGCTAAGAAAGGCGTCTCTCAGCTCAGCATCTCCTGCGGGAGGGTGCAGGGAGTATCCGAGACGCGTCCGGCGCAAACGCGGATCCGCAGAGGGAGAGAGAGAGAGAAAGAAAGAGAGAGAGAAAGAAAGAGAGAGCCTACGACGGCGTGCCGGAGCTTGGTTCCCCACGCACACGTGTCCGGCCGGGGCTCAGAAAACACCGCACTCCCTTCTTAACCAGCCCNTGATGTTACCTATTTGGGTCATGAAACGTCTGCAAAGAAACCACCAAGCTCAGAGAACCCACAGCTACCCTCCTTCACATTCTCCTTTTCTTCTTCCTCCTCCTCCTCCTCCTCTCCACAAAACCACCTTTTTGCTACTGGAAAGACACCGATTGATAATGCCACTCGATGATAAAAATTAGCTAACTTTTGATGATTAATAAGTAGGGATTCTAATACTTGGTAGACTGTTTTAGATCATCGAATGCTTGTTCGTTAACATATAATTTACTATGATATTAATAATGAAATGATAACCTTAATTTGGATAAATAACCAGGCCACAAATTGTAAATTGAGATCTGGTGAAAAGACTTATAAACTTTATAAACTTTTTGTTTAGGTTTTGTTATGACGGTATAAATAATTTGGATCAGAGGACAGGAGACGTCCCTTCTAGCACTGATGATATTCTATAGTTGGGTCATAAAATGTCATCAAGAAAAGCATCAAGGTCAGAGAGCGCTAAGCAACCTAAAGCCTCCTCTCCTCCTCCAGCACTTTCTCCTCCTCCTCCTCCAGTACTTTTTTCTTCTCCTTCTCCAACACTCTTTCTCCTTCTACGTCCCCAACACTTTCTTCTTTACCATCACTCTTTCTCCTCCTCCTCCTACTAAACCACCCACCACCACTCTTTCTCCTTCTTTGCTCAGGAATTCTGGGAGCTGAAGTCCACAAATTGTCATTGTTTCCCATCCCTGATCTAGGGTGATTTCTTGGAGAAGCCCCAACTTCTACACCTCATTGGCCGCCAACGTTTCAAGCGGGTAAGCGTTACCTGGGGAAGCCGGACCTCACGTGAAGCCCGTCTATGTTTTGGCTGACCAGGAAGTGCAGGATGCCCACTCGATGGAGCTCCAACAGGGCCATGTGAGTCTTCGAGGGCCTCGCGTTCTCAAAGGTGGTGTCGAATTTGGGCACCAGGCCCCGCTCCTCCATGGTCCACACCCCATTCGGGCCCCTGCACCAAGGAAGAGAAGCACAGTTGGTTCTCCACTTACAACAGTTCATTTAGTGACTGCTTGAAGTGGCAAAACTCACTGGAAAAACAAAGTCACGTCACGACCATTTTCCACACTTGCGACCGTTGGGGTCCAGTGATCAAAATTCAGACGCTTGGTCGTTGACTCATATTTATGACAGTGCACGTTTGTGTCACGTGATCGCTCCCCTTTTGCAACCTTCTGACGAGCAAAATCACAGAGGAAGACAGATTCACTTAACAACCGTGAGACTCATTGAAGAACTGCGGGGATTCATTTAACAAC